TTTTTTTTTTTCAACAGCCGCTAAGGGAAGACAAACGTTTTCTGTGGGATATGGGAAACAATTTCTCTTCAGTATTTAATAAAAATGGTATTTTCTTCAAATAGCAATGGAGTCAGCCTCTGAAATCATAATTTCGTAATCCATGGCAGTTTGAATCTCCTGCCAGATGCTCTGAACTAAGACCCAGACAGCATTAATTAATTAGATACCAAGCTAATAAACCAAATTATATGTAGACTGGATTTGCCCTCTCAGTAAAAAGCAGTTGGCAGAAGCAGTGAGATATGCAACTGTACAATTAAATGTGTGCCATACTGCTGATGATGGACATTTAATTTCTCAACTGCAATGTTCTGGGATTTTTTTGAGGGGAGAGGAAGAAATTAAGTAATTAAGGAGATTCTACTAAAGAACAATTCCATCAAAAGTAATACTACAAGTAAAATCTACTCCTGTAAGCAAACTGTTATTCCTCTGAGAAAGGACTGCAAATACACAAGTAAATCTACTGCTAAAAGAAAACGAATCTCAAAAACCCTCAAGATTTCCATTTAAACAGCAAGAATGTGCATGAGGAACTTTATTCTCGTGGAAAAAAAGGTCAACTAGACACTTGAGAAAGATAAAAAAATACAACAGGTTGAAAAGGCAGAACCAACCTCCACTAGTATCTGTCCCATGGAAAATACAACTCCTGCCCACATCGTTGTATTTCAGACCTTTCCAAGACTTAACACTTAGGTTTTTGTCAAATAAACTGTTCCTTCCTTAATACAACACACACTTACGATCTTAATTCTCCATCCAGGTCTTGCTGACGTAGCTTCCTGAAATCTGCATCCAGGGACTGGTAGTTTTCCTCTGATGTATCATAAAACCCAGGGGCAGGTTTCTTTTCAAAAGGAATTTCTGCATTATAATCCACACCTCTCTTCTTTTTTCTTTTCTTCTGGATCTCAATTCCAGCAGCTCGAAGTTCTCGCCTTTTCTGGAGAGCCGCAAGCCGTCTAAAGAAACAGGAACATCATGTGATTTAAAACACAATAGGTGACTTCTGTATCCGAAGATGTGGTACTACTTTAATCACTTGCTGCTGAGACAGGGCTGAATGTATTTAAAAAACAAGAAGAAAGCTCTTGTCACAAATTACTATCAGAAAGTCTGATTCTGCCATCACTTAAAGCTCTGCCTGATTTTATGCACTATCCATGCTCCAGAATCAACAAAAGCAGTCCTAGCACATGAAACTAAGATTAAGTTTACCTAGCTTCTTCCAGCTGCTTCTCTCTTGCCTTTCTTTTGGCCTTCTTGCCCTGTGTATTAGCCAGACGAGCTCTAGCTTCAGACAGCATTTCAAGTTCATCTACAATGGTACAGATAAATACAGCTGAGAATTTGCACTTAAAGATGTAAGGGAAAAAGTGACATTAAGATCAGAAAGGAATTTTTAAAAGCTGAAGGAATCAATGTTAGCGTGATCGCTAAACAAGCTTTTTCAAGTTGTTCCAATATATTTTCTAAATCATTGGCCAGATGAAATGCAGACTTTAAGAAAAAAAAAGCCTAATATTGAAAATAAGTAATACCTACAGCAAACCAAAATATCTACATACAGAGGCAAAGTAACCACATTAATGAAATTATAATTTCATTTACATCTTCATCTGAAAGCACCATATTAGAGAATCTGTTCATTTCATTTATATCCAGATCTGAGAGTGCTGCATTTCTGAACCTGTGACTGACTGTTCAAAAACACCATTGGTGCATTCATGGAATTTTAGCAATGTTCATTTTTTAGTTCATAACATTGCTATGTTATGTAGTCCTTCTGTATTTCAGCATGAATTAATCTAGGAGGCATACACTGATGGAAAAAGATGAAGATACAGATATAAGAACGCAAACAAGCAGAGGAGTTGTCAAAGCAAAGAACAGTCAGTCATGGTAAGAGACAACAAAGATCAGAAGGCAGAAAACACAGCAAGTAAAGGAAAACTGGAAAAGTGTAACTGACTGGCCTGATACAGAAATAATGCAAAACCTGTCAGAAAAAATGATCAGGGGAAGAGAAAAGAAGACAAAAGAAAGCCAGGGCACAAAGGCTGTGTAAAAACAAAAATCAAAGAGATCGGATTTCTGTCAAAAATAATAAACTAATTCCTATTTTACCTTCATCCATGTCAATAGGATCTGGCCTGGCTGGTTTGGTTTCTGGATTTGGATCAATTTCTCCAGGTTTAAGTTTCCGAGGATCATCAGCAGTTTCTTCCTCATTGTCTCTCTGAGCAGCTTTGTCCCTAAAAACACATCATATGTGTATCACAATTGGCTCTTTGTTTTCCCCCAGGCCCTTAAGAACCATCCCTCAAATGTCCCCAAAAACTGATCAAAAAAGTAACCTTGTACTAACGTTCCATACACTAAACTTGTTATACAATTACTGCAGAAAAGAATATGAACATGGTACAGTTACATAACCTTAAATCAGACAAGTGAAAGAAGCCAACACAGTATTACATTACAACAATAAAATACTATATAAAATACAAAGCTAATACTAGTGAACTCTCCTCAGGTAATTTTAAGAGTAAGGCCACGAATTCAAGCAGTGTGACAAAACAATCAAGTTTCTCATTATACTTTTATACTCAACCAATCACACCAGAATTAAGAAACCCTCTGTATCATACAGAGACGACAGTTGCAGATTCAGCCATTTCAGCCACATGCTTTTTGTCTGTAAGTCTTTTTTCTTCTCTCTCATACGCTCACTCATGCTGATCAGCCAGTCAAAAAATACCCAAATCAACCTGAAATGGAAGCTTACAAAAAACATCACTCTTGGCACTCCTCTAGCCAGAATGACCAGAAGCAAGAAAACATACACCTGTATCTATTCACGTCTGCTCTCCAGGTCTCAGGAGCTTCTCCTTTCAAGATAGACACTCCAACATAAAAGAAAGTCCTTAAGGACTTGCTGACAAAAGGGCTTGGTCAGCTTGAAACCACCACACTTCAGCACCATGGGAGAGGGAACGTCACATCACTAACACAAACTCTGCCGACTTTCCTGGTATGCACCTCTAGCAAAACAGTAACTCACAGCAGAAATTCATAGTGTTCCAAACACTGTGCAGCAGTTCTCCCAATAATTGGGGCAATGGTTCTCCACTGGGTTGGCATTAGCTTGGCCAGGTGCAGCAGCTTCTCTTCTTCTTCTCGTGACCACTCTGTCTTTTTGATGCTCGGGTCGAGCCATTCATACCTGTTAAAAAGTAAAAAAAATAAGGAGGAGAGTTCAAAGTTATTGATTTTCCCTGAATTAATTCAGAAGTGTTGATCCAAATCCTCACAATGATTCTAAAATCTTGTCATGCAAATTTCACACAAGTTTTTTTTCCTCTACAAAAGGATGTTACTCCAGAGTATTTTTATGACATATGTATTTGAGCTTTGAAATGTATTATTTATCACTTTTCATACAGATGTTGCCTCTTCTTCCTTATTCCAAATAAGTCTGATTCTGAAATGGATTCATATTGCACGTATTTACATTAGTTTTAAGCTTCTATTCTTTTCTACAAAAATTTTCTGCAAATTCCACAATGCAATTTCCAAACATTTATCCTCAAGCCAAACATTAATTATGAAAAATTAGGAAACTATCTGAAGGAGAGATTAGTGTCTTACAATTTTACCTCACTGGAAATACTCACTTTGATTGAAAATGTGGAAATACATGAAAAAAAACCATGTACACAATTCTAAGTGATCCTGCATTTGCTAACATTGCAGCCCCTGGCAAATACATAATTTGGGCACTTCTGCTCACATCACTTTAAATTCAAAATATCCACAATAGCAAAAATCAAACAATGTTAAAACTATTGTTTTTCTGTGGACATAAATTAGTTTGTGGCACCTTCTAAATTCCCACTCATTAGGAATCTCATATTCCCAGACATGGCACTTCTCACTTACCATCTGGCTTTGCACTGCTTTGCTGATTTCCTATGCAATAAAGAAGCAATACGAGACCACTGGTTTTTGCCATATTTCATCACAGCTGCTTTCAGAATTTCATCCTTAAAAAAAAAATTAAAAATCTGTTATGGAACATGAGAACTTACAAAAGGGAAAGTCTGAGCTCAAGCAGAGAAGACGGTGGATTTAATCTAATGGGTTGACCGAGTGGAAACAGCACAGCACGGCTGCTTCTTTTCCACATTTTATTCTCAAGATGAATGAGGATTTGTATTTCAAAGGCCAATGATATCAATAAAGATTAAATGAAAAAGACATGTGATGATTATTGTGGCCTACTTCACAGACCTGACACAACTGGAGAACAAGCCATATGAGGAGCGGCTGAGGGAACTGGGGTTGTTTAGCCTGGAGAAGAGAAGGCTGAGGGGAGACCTCAGCACCACCTACAACTACCTCAAGGGAGGTTGTAGAGAGGTGGGTGCTGGTCTCTTCTCCCAGGTGATGGGGGATAGAACAAGGGGTAACGGCACCAAGCTGTGCCAAGGGAGGTTCAGGTTAGAGATAAGGAGGAAGTTCTTTACTGAGAGGGTCATCAGAAGCTGGAACAGGCTGCCCAGGGAGGTGGTGGAGTCACCATCCCTGGATGTATTTAAAGAGCGGGTAGATGAGGTACTTAGGAATATGGTTTAGGGGGTAGACAGGAACGGTTGGACATGATGATCTCAGAGGTCTTTTCCAACCGAGTGATTCTGTGAACTTCCAAAATGATTACTGTCAACACTCTTTAATGTATTTAAAAGTCTTGTATGTCGTACTTGGAGGACAGTAACAAAGAGATAGGGAAGTGCTTGGTAATGATGTAACATCTGGAAAAAAAAAATTAACAGATACCCCTGGGTAGCTTTTTTAAATAATACCATAATTAATTTTTTGCATATTATAATGCAAATGGAATATGTTGTTAAAAAAAAAACAATACACAACACAAAAATTAAGGAACTTTATAGTAAATATTTATTTTACAAGTAAACCTTAAAATAATACACTTTAATGTTCAGCATTTAACATCCAACCTTTCTGTTCCCAAAGCTTCTGAACTTCTGGGGGAAAAAAGTGAAAAATAATGAATTCAGCTTGGGAGCCAGGTTGTTCATATACATCAAAGTGTGCACTGAGATCTGATCAAAAGCCAGAAATCCTAGCAACTGTCTGTCAATCCATGAGTCAATCCTTTTCTCCCCTCCCTGCAGATAAACGGGTTCATTATTTCTGCTTTCCGCACAGGTCAGAAGATGGGATTATTAAGTGCACTAAAGCTGATCTTATGGCCTTGTCAACCACAGATGTTCCTCTTCTGTACCCTGTAAGTACTTGTAGTTGCATTTAGAATCTGTTCAGCTGTACCGTGCAGATGCCAGCCATCAAGGACTGGTGCTCTGTCTAGCACTGACATCTCACAGAGCACCCAGCAGCTTTAACTGTAAGCTGCTGATGAACTCTGGCTTGAGCTGCTACACAAAACAATCCACATAATTTCTATTAAAAAATAAATACTAATTTCTCTCTTAGGTTTTTTTTTTAAATTCACTTGGTGTTATACAGCATGCAGTAGCCATACTGATGACACGAGCAGGGCTTTTTGCGAGTAACTGGTCATTTTCCTAATGATCTGATATCAATTGGTTCCACTTCTTGTTCTTTTTTTAAGATGCACGTAAAATTAAAATGTTAATCAAAAAAAATAGCACCAAGGAGAGCTATTTCTGGTACACAAAAATGGGTGAAACAATGATGTATTCAGCCCACCGCTGTTTCTGTTAATAGTCACCAAAATTAGTCAATTATGGAGGACCCTAAGAATGGGGTAAGCACACGGTGGTTCTTCCTATCCTCTGCTGACCTATTTAGCAGCCTCCTGGCACACAGCTGATATGTCACAAGTGGTTAAAAGCACATGCAGCACACAGTACTTTTATCTTCATTTTTTACATGTCCAGCACTCACAGAATACAGTGGCAGAGACCTGGACTTTAAAGTGTCAGGGTACCTCCTTTTGCTTTAAACATGCCATCTAATAAAACTGACATCCTTGATTTCTCGTGTTATTATTTTCCCTTTCCATGATTTCTTGTCATTCTGAAAGCATGCGATACCAAAAATGGGAGAGAGGAGTGGGTTCTGTTGGTCTTTTTGATCAGCACATATATTTCTGTGTACAAAACGCTCTGGGCTGCAGATGAAGAGCCCATACCCATCTTCCCCATTTCCAGATTTGAAAGGGTCCACAAGGGCAAGAGATTCCAGCTTCCTCATATCCCCAGAAAATAAAAATCCTGCCTATACAGTATGAGACACAATCCAGCCTACGAAAGGGCCATCTTGGAGGACACCACATCCCACACATCCCCTCCAGCTGCTTTGGGGACAGTGTCCCCAGGGAACGGGGATGGGGAACACGCAGCCTTCAGGACACACCACCGATGTGACCTCTGCTCGCAGGTGCAGTGGAGGAGGAATGTCCAAGCGACAGAGGATTTCAGCTCCCCACAGCCACAATGCCTGTAGATACCAACCCCTCCGCTACAGAGGGCCCAAAAACCTCCAACCTTCCCCCAGCCTCTGCATCGCGGCAACTCATTGCATGAACTCCCCTGCGCATGCGCGCCACGGCCCCTCTGCCAGCGCCTGCGCACTGGTGCAAGGCCCCCCCCTCCCCGGCTTTCAGCCGCTAAGGCCTCAGCCCTTGTGGGGGTGGGGAGCGAAAGCGAGCAGGACCTTACCTCGGTGTTCCGCCACACGCCGCCTTTAATCATAATCCGCGGCATCTTGGCGGCGAAGGGTGCTCAAAGTCCTGCGGAGAAAAAGCGGC